ACACACACACACACACACACAGTGTAAGCCAACCATTATGAGATAACAGGACAGACTGAAGAGACGGAGCGATAAAGAACGAGAAAGAGATTTTTTAAAACAACAGTAATTTACATTTTAGTGACTGACTGACTGACTGACTGACCGACTGACCGGTCGGTCGGTTTGTTACCTGTGCCCAATGGTTCTTAAACACGATCATGCAGGTCTCCGGGTCCACTCCTCTCAACGTGAGAGACTTCTTCCGGGTGCCCCTGACAACCACAGAGGCCATCATTTTGATCGGCTGTCAGGCGGCTATAGCATGTTTCAGGTGAATATGCATGTGTGTGTGTGTGGGGAGGGGGGGGCGCTGTGTTGGTCGTCTGATGTGATGACAGGGGGCATTGGCAGGATCTCTCTCCCCCCAACATCAGACTCCTTTCCTGGGCTCTGCAGACAGCGGCTGGCCTGCAGGAGGCGGACAGACAAACACTCTCTGTTAGTTGACTTATTTACAAACATGGCCGGCACGCTCGGACTTCCTGGAGCTCACCGCCACGTTTCAACTTATTGTGTGAGGCTGTGAAAACAAAAGTCCTTCCTTCCAGACAGGCGGTGGTTTCATTTCATTTCCCCACGTTATGAAAATCAAGTTGCAAAGAGCTGCAGGAGGATCATCTACCACGGTGAACACTAGCACCGCGGCTCAAAGGACGGTCCACCGTCAGACGGAAATATCTCAAAACAGACGGGTTCAGTTTTTCTAACATTCAAATCTGCAACTAAGGCAGCAGACGGGCAGGTTTAGAACGGGCACTGCAGAATCATAGTGAGGGTCATAAACCACAGCCTCGTCAAATCAACAGCTGATGAACTGGATGTGTGTGTTTATTGTTTCAACCTATCGAGAAGATTTCTCCTGAGCTTGTTGTGTGTTTGAAAGGTCCAGTGGATTTATTTCTGACACGCAAACTCTGAGGTGAACAACATATTAATCCCCAGCAGGAGGCTGGTGGACAGAGCGGGGGAGGGGGGAGGGGGGACACTTTTCTCTCGCTCTTAAACGCTTGATGTCCCCCGATCCGTATCAATACATCCTCCCATTTTATCTCTGCGCAGAAACCAACGACAGCCAAGGCCGAGACAGGAAGTGGAGGTCGTCAGCGGTTACAAGGAAACAGGAAGAGTGGTCCGAATGCATCCGAGTCCCACCCAGGGCGTTCCAGGACATTCCATGAATTCCCACCCCGCCACCCCCCAACTGCAGAGAAGTGTGTACCTACCTCTGAGCTGCTGCCGAGACCACATGGACGAGCGAGCCTGACACCTGTTGTCCTGAGAAAGAGAGAGATTGTTAAACTGTCTGGCTCGAACACACACACACACACACACACACACACACACACACACAGACAGACGTACATTTTTTTACTTCTATCTCACTGAGGACACTCGTTGGCATAATGCATTTGCCAGTCTAACCTTAACCATCACAACTAAATGCCTTATCCTGACCTAAACCTAATTCTGACCCTGTAACCAAGTCTTGACCCTGAAACAGTCCATTAAGAGAACGAGGACCGGCCCAAATGTCCTCACTTTCCAAAAATGTCCTCACTCCCATGGTCCTCACAAATACATCGATTCAAGTACACACAGACAAACACAGATTAAAGACCCAGATGGTAAATGATGGATTTGTAAACCGTGTGTATGAGATAGTGATGTTTAATCCCAAACCACCACCATGAGTGTGTGTGTGTGTGTGTGTGTGTCATATCCTACCTTTTGAAACAAATATAAGACTAAAAACCAGTTTAATTGGGGACAACTGGTCCAACACCAGGACAAAAGCTGAGTCTCTAATTAGGAAGACACAGATTTTTGGGTCAGTGGTTAAAGTTGTGCTGAGTCTTCAGGAAAGACGTCCCCACAAGTGCCGGCATGTGTGTGTGAGTGTGTGTCCTTGTTAAAGTCAGACAGTCACATGCCAACACACAAACCAGGGATTACACACACAAACACACATACACACAAACACACAAACACACATACACACAAACACACAAACACACACGGAGGCCGGAGGTATTCACGTTGTGTCTGACCTGATTTTTGATGCTCTTCATTTTATCTGATTGAGGTTTAGATATAATCATGATGATGATTGTTCAAGGGCAACACACACACACACACACACACACACACACACACAGTAGATGAAAGCTGAATACAGTAAACATTAAAAGAGAAATAAAAGCTCTCACTCATTCTCTTATATTCTGTCGATCTCTTCTTCTACTCATTTCTATATTCCTTGTCTCTGTCATGCTCGACTGATATTCGTCTCTGTTCTAATCATGTTTCACTTCAATTACTGTTATTAATAAAATAACATTTTTACAATTCTTCATGTTGTGTATGTTTGCATTTCTTATTTTCTACCTTTACTCTTCATGAAGACACTGACCTGCCGGAGTGAGAGAAACTTGTGTCTCTTCTTCTTCTTCCTCTTCTTCTTCTTCTGAATCCAACAAACAACAAAAGAAATAGTGAAAGTCAAAGTAAAGAGTCAAACAAAGTCACATCCAGAAGTTTCTCTTCTTCTTCTACAACGAGCTGTTGTTTCTGCTCTGAGGCTTTAAGCCGCTCAGCTGTCAATCACCCTGCTGCTGGCTGCTAGGTGACTGTGTGGCCCCGCCCAGATGGACCCCAAGCTACGCCCCCGAGAGAGAGAGGGAGAGAGGGAGAGAGAGGGACAGAGAGAGAGAGAGAGAGAGAGAGAGAGTCCGTGCTGCCCTCTTGTGGCAAAACACTGAAACTACAGTTGACTTGTTAAGTGTGTTTGTTGCTTCAGAATCTGATGCACGTGCAGAGTTTGAAACCTGATGACATCATACATGTACAATGAAAACAATCTAGTCAAATTAATTCCGGAAAAAAAAAAATATCATTTTAACTTTCAGAACCTGATTTTCTGTTTCACCGTCATCTGATCTGTCAAATCACCACAAACACAAAATACAAGAGAAATGACACAGAGCCTGCAGAAAGGAATAGATAAAAAAACTAAAATGCAGGTTCACAAACTAGTTTTGTGTCTTTTTCTCTTAAAGTCTTCAAACTAAAGTCAAAGTCAGCTTTATTGTCAATTTCTGCAATACATACACAGACTCTGTCTCCCCATCAACACAGTAAAACTTAAGTCAAAAACAAAGTCTTAATAGAACAAATATTAAAAGAAGTACAAGGAGAAAAGGTATAAAATATATAAATATATATAAACTCTCTCTCTGACTCATCCTCAGGCTGAAACACGTGTTCTCGTCTCGACCTGTTAATAACTGTTTACATTCTCTGAGTCATCACCTGTGTCTCAAGTTTTCAGAGACAGTTCTGAGTCCATGAAAACTTCTTTTGCGTCTCAGTTCGTGTGTCGTATTAGTGTTTGTGTCTCTTGTCCTTTTGCATGTGTGTGTAGTGATGAGGATTGTTTTCAGAGAGCAGTAGTTCTGTCTCTTGTAGTTTCGTGTGTTTCCAGGTTCGTCGTGTGTCTTTACTTTGTGTTACTTGTTGTATCTTTGTGTTAGTTCTCATCAGGATCACTTGTTTTGTATTGTTGGGGTCATTTTCGCGTCATCACAGTGGTCGTACGTCACACCTGTGGTCATTTAAAGTCTCTTATTGTTCATTATGAATTAATAAAAAACCCTCACGTGCAGCACTTTAGCCATGTAGCTCACCTGGTGTCATGCTAGCTCGGCTAATTGTTTGATCCTCCATTTTTCTTTCCCAAGTTTTTTTTTTTTTTTTCCTGTCGCTAGGTGACGTCACGGGGCCGGTGCGCGTGCAGCTGTGCGGAGCTCGCGGCAGAGAGAAACTCTTCGCCCGAAACTTGACGCAATAAACTGCGCAGTTTGAACGTCACTGCGGCTCCGAGCGGCTCGCGGTGTCCGCGGCTGCTCCACTCGGTCCCGGACGGTCCCGCGGGGCCCGGACGTCACTTCGGCCGCTGCAGCTGCGCCGTGCTCGGGTGAACTTGTCCCGGGTCGTCGAGCTGAGCTCCCGCGGCCGCTCGGATGTTCCGCGACGACGCAAACAACAACAGCAGCAGCAGCAGCGGGAACAATGTCGGAGTTTTAACCTCCCCGTGAACAGTCTGCGGTTTGGACCCGGCTCCGATTCACTCCACCGAGGAGAACACCGGGGAGCCCCGAGCAGACATGGCCGAGGCTCGGTCCGAGGAAGAGGAGGAAAACATGAGGGAGAGCCGGGAACAAGTGGTCCGACGACAGCCCCACACCTCCGGAGGTAAGAGAGCCAAACTGTCCCCGGACAGTCGTCACGTTTATTCAGATTCCACCTGTTACACATTCAGACAAGTTGTCACCGGTTAGAATGGAAGGAGAACATGAATCACCTCCATGGTCCAGATATCAGCTCATTGGGTTGTTTTGTTCTTCATGTTTCCATGAATGGGATCCTCGTGTCTCCTGCAGGACACGTCTGTGATATCTGTTGTCTCCCTGTTAAAAGTCTCACAGGACTGATGAGCCGGATTTAAAATACATCACCAAGTTATTGGTTCACTTCACTCAATGTTAAATTATAGTATTTTCCAACCCAATGACTAATGGATCGATTATTTAAATAATGAGTAGATAAACCTATGAAGTAAATAATTCATCTGAGTGAATAGTTGATAAGAGTTGATCAACAGATTTAACCTGCAACTTTATTTTTAATTTATAAAAAGTTTTGTGACTGTTTCAAACTATGAGCCAAATGATTTATCAATAAACAAGCAGGTTAATCTCTTCAGGAAATAATGACTTTGAATTAAAAGTCAAGAAACAATAAATCAATTATTTAAACTATTACTTTAAGAAGATAATATTTCAAAAACTGACTGGTTCCAGCTTCTTAAATGTGAGTATTTGCTTGTCATCGCTTCGTTTTAGACTCAAGAGGCAGTTTGAATTTGTTAACTTTGTGTTTATAGGAACCGCGATGTCTTTATAAAACCTTCTTCGTACATTTCATAGACTGAAATCTCTTCCTGGATGCTCACGGTCTCAAACTGCTGATCTGAGATCCAGAGTGCGGGTGAACTTCACTGTGTGAGACTGTGGGTGTAACCCGCTCAAACCCAAAGCAATAAATTCTTGTAACAACATGTGAATATGTCATCATTTGGCTCAAAGTTCACACACACGCACACACACACACACACACACGCACACACACACACACACACGCACACACACACACATTCCCAGTTGGCTGTAATGGGGCAGGCCTGTGCCAAGACTTAAAACCATTATGTACAAGTCTCATTCAGAGAAACACAAGGGATAATTTAACATGTCTCAAGTGTGTGTGTGTAAGACAAGCGTATAATTTCACCATCACTTCATCCCTCTGTTTAGGACCGGGCGTATTTTCGCAAATGACAAACACATCCTGTGTCTTTCTTCTCAAATGCGACAATTACAGAAACTAGGTCCAGATCGCAATAGTTTGTTTTTTATTTCTCATTTTCCAGAATGTTGTTTATATGCAGGCCGCTGTTGAAGTACAAAGATATAAACAACTTAACATGAGGGTTTTATCCAAATCGCCCTCCAGGATGATGTCTTTCCGACTTGAGCTTTACATCATAGTCTATAAAGATGGATGACATGACAGCTTTCACAAGTGAAGCCAAAATATCTGGTTGGCCCCCTGGTGGCCGGCTGCAGCATAGGTCACGTATCCAGCCTCCTCGTTAACAGAAGTTAACTGTTGATGTGAAAACGGACTTGATGATTGACAGCTGTGACTGATTTCATTTTTGTGCAAAGTGGTAGAAGTGGAGATGCATCGTCCATCTTTATTTACAGTCTGTACTTGATAAATAGACGAGGTAGAGTTTCCATTAAGTCTTGTTGCTGCGAGGAAAGTGACATTTCCTGTTTTCTGTTTGTTTTGAATGAAGAGAAGAGGAAATAGGCAGTAGCAGCGGCTCAGACAGGTGATATCAGGTGACAGTTGATAACAGAAACTCCACAGCAACGAGAATTGAGCGGCTGTAGTTCGAGGAAACGTTTCAATGATCACAAACAAAACAGTTTTTCACGATACAAGATAATTATTATCACACTTACAAACCAAACAAGTGAAAAAGTCATTGTGACGAAAGATGGAGTAGTAATAATGATAAATACAGGAATAATACAATTTGTATTTACCAAAAATACACAATAATAGGAGAAAGATAAGGAGCAGATATGTGGATTGTAGGCAGATGAAATGTCTTGTGACCTGGGGGGGGTTTCCTGGTTTCAGTCGTTACTTCTGTCCAGTAGCAACAACAACATAGAAATCCACGTGTCAGTGCTGTTAGTTCACCAGCTGATGCTCATACGAACTGTGAACGAGCTTCAGTGTGGACGAAACACACCGGGAGCATGTGTTGCTCCGAGTCTCAGTCAGCTGCTGTTGTGAATCATGTGATCGTGAGAAGCTGAAGTCTCTGAGTTTAAATCCAACGTGTTTCAAAAGCTTTTATTTCTCACATTTTGTTCCCAAGAGCTGCAAATACTAAACTCTGGAAAGCACCAACAATCGGGTTGCGTGTTTGCGTGCAGCATTCCTTCCTGTGGTTCTGCCTCCTGTGTGTGGCTTTAACGACAATCTGTGATTAATTTTTTTGGGGGCGTCTCCTTGTTTACCACGAGGTTTGTGTTCAGCCGCTCCTTAGCTTTGGGGAAAATATGCAGCGTAATCAAAATGTTGAAAGTCACTGTCTCGGGTCAAATTACACCTGAGTTCATAAAAGTTCTAACTGATGTTAGAAGAAGTGAAGAAACTGATGTTTGAAAAGTGAAAGATGTTGACAACAGACACTGCTCGTTCAGTGTGAACGTGGTGAGGTCATGCGTTGCTGAACTGCATTGTGGTTCTGCTACATCTTCCATAAAAGTCTTTTTCCTTTTTAATGACGTTTCCTTCCACAAAGCATTAAATCCCTTTAGCACTCATCTCTCACCTCCAACCTTCCCCCCCTTGGTGCCAGCTGGGAGGAACCAACAGATGACGAGCGCTGCGGGGAAATTTTGCTGCGCTGTGCATTTGCACGTTTGAACGCAGCTCCGGCACAGAGCTCAGCCGGCCTGCTTCAGATCAAGCATCTGGAAGTATTAAAGGTCCTGATGACTCCAGCAGAATCCCAACCGCAGCCAATCGCAGCCCCGCTTCCTGTATGGTAGCTGCCAATCAGAAAGCTGGGCGTTCCGGTCTGACGTTTAGAGAAGGAGAGAAGTAGAGAAGAAGAGGACAGAGTGGAGGAAAGAGAAGTTTTCACTTTTCAACAGAAGAATAAAAAGGATACGAGCAAATCTTTTCCGAACACGTCAACACTTAGTGTCTGTGGACGCCACCGGGAGCCGAGGTGTGTTGTGATGTGAAGAGGAAAGGAGGTAGGAAATGTTCACAGAGAGAAAAAAGTCCTGTCCTCTTTCTTTTCTTTGTTCACCTTGAAAAGGTGATGACAGGAGGTTCAGGACACGTTTTATTACTTGTTTTTTAGCGCTCGTCAAACTAATGTCACCAGAGGACGGTGATGTGACTCCTTTTATTGTGTGTTTTATTTTGAAGTAGGGATGTTAAAACAGGACGGCAAAGTAGGCAATTATTTGGGGGGGGGGCCCTGAGAACGGCCGGTCCACAGAACCGTGAATTTTGTGAGAACCCCCATAAATTCAGCAACGGACCGGAGATAACACAACGACGTCATGGTCCGAACCCCCCTAACGAGGCCCCATGCTGCTAACGCTCCAAAAGTTTCGTCATGTTAGAGGTTTGGTTAAAACTAGAATGTCTTGGTTTATTGCATGGCCCCCCCAGGTCCCTCATGCCTGGGGCCCCCAGAGTCCCTTGAAACGTTGCTAATTTCTTTATGTCAAAGTGAAACATGTTTTTGTTTTGAAGTATTAATCACAATCTCTCTCTCTCTCTCTCTCTCTCTCTCTCTCCGCAGGTCGTCCTGACAGACGTAAGCCCGAGCATCGTCACAGGTAAAAGGTTTTTCTTCTTCCTCAGCCTCTTTGGCTCCGTCCACACGTTAGAGGGGAACTCCAATGATTTACCATTTTACTTCCATAAAGTCAAAATTTAAACAGCAAAGTCCAAAGTATCCTGAATTTTGGTCCCTTGCGTAGGAGAGGTCCAAAAATCCTGTGGCCTACATTTCCGATAATGCAACCTCTGGGAAATAGGGTTAGGCTTACGATGTGGAGGTGGAAGTACAGCCATCTTTGGTGGAAGTTGAAAATGTGTTGGGCCAACAGTGAAGAAGAAGGAACTTAGAACCTCCAACTCACTAAGTTCAGATACAAACACATTGAAAACCTTGATGTGACAAATTCAATTCTCACAGAAAGACATCTGCCGAACTCAGAAACTACATACATGTCATTTTAGTTATTTTATTATTATCAGTCTCTTATTTTGCTGTTTCATCATGAATTTCCTTCGGGATCAATGAAGTATCTGTCTGTCTGTATCAGGGGGTTTCCACTGTTTCACGACCTTCTACTTTTGTTTCTCTCTTTTTAAAGCAAAGTAAACCAAACTTGAGGCTCTGCTTCCCCAATAAACACACACACACACACACACACACACACACACACACACACACACACACACACACACAAACACTCTTCTAAACCCTGTGACTTCTCTGGCTAGTTGCTATGCCAACCGACCAACAGCCCAAATACTTTCAGGAGTGTGTCAGACCCAGAGACACAAGGGGGCGGGGGTGGGGTTTTCTCTCGCATGTGTGAGTAGATTTTCTTTAGCGACGCTTCAAACGCAGAAGAATAGATTCGCTTGTAGATCACAAACCTGTCACAGGCGAGATCGGAAAGATCGGAACGTTCAAAGACGTGTTGCCACGCGCGGGTCACATCAGCACCTGGAAACAGTCGCGGTGGGACAAGGTTTACTTCCATGTTTTACCGCTGCAATGCGTCACTGTTGCTGTGGTTACGCCAGGTGTCTCCTGAAAAGTGAAGCCAAATCGACTGGATCTCCTGACTCCTCGACAGCCTCCGGCCCGTTTGTCAAGAGCGGAAAGTGAACAGTGTTTACGAAGACAGAATTAGCATTGAGTTCAAATTGGTATCATCTGTTTTTGTCTAAATAAAATCAGCGTCATGAAGAGTCATTTACCAGGTTTTAGCTCAGTGTTCTGTCCAACCCACTATTTTTTTCTTTTTCCAGTGAACAGTCAGAAATGGAAAGGGGAGGAAAAGAGGAGTATTTTTCCATCAGTGTTGACAGTGAAGCAGAGAGTTTGGAGGGTTTGGACAGTGTCAGGGGTGAGTCACGTTGGTTTACAGCTCCGTGAGAAAGAGAGACAAACAGAGACAAAGAGCAGAAAACAGTTAGAAAGACTGAGCCTGAGAGAGACGAAGTTGCAGAAGGACGTCTGACCTCCTTCTGTCGTCTGGGTGAGTCCCTGCATCACAGCAACGACTTCTCTCTTTGTGTGGGAAGTATTTTTGGCTTCTTTCTGAACCTCGAGCTGCTGAAATATCTGTGAATCAGTTTGATCGGTCTGGATGCCAACTGTTGACGTCTCCCCACTCTGTCTTTCTTTCTCTGCTGTGCTAAGAGAAACATGACTTCAGCAAGTTCTTTGTTCTGAAAGTTAAAAAAAGAAAAAAAGAAGATCATTGAAGAAAACCACAGAGGGTTTTAGTTAAACAAAGTGGAGCAACATAAAAAAAAAAGAAAAGAGGTGCGGACATTTCTCTCTGGTGTCTGTTGTGATTGGAGGAGGAGGAGAAAACATTGAGCGAGCAGGTTTGTTACGCCCACAGCTTGACCAGCATGACCTCCATGTTTTCTGTCCGTATGACACGTTGTGGTTTCACTCTCTCTCTCTCTGTGTTTTGACTTTTTACACAGGAGAGAAAAACTTTTGATGCGTTTAGGGAATCGAGAGCCTGAAGAAGGCCGACTGAAGTTTAGGGAATTAAAGTAATTCAGAAATTCCCATCACACACAATGAAGCGGAACTTAATTTCGTTAGAGGAAGGCAGCGAACCCTCAGCCCCTAGAGAAGAAAAAAAATGACGTCATGAAAAATGTGGATGTGTGGAGTTCCGATACTGAGAGAGTGGGGTGGACGAGCGAGCTATGTTTGTCACTGGAAAACAGAGGGAGAGAGAGAGAGATTTACAGAGGGAGATGATGGAAACTGAGGTTAAATAATGCGACTCACAGTTTCCGTTTTTTCCTCTCTCTCTCTCTCTCTGTAGCCAGGGTCCTCTCTCGTCCATCAGAGCTGCCATCAAAAGAAGTGAGTGAAGTTCTCCTTTTACATCTAATTTAGTCACAGTGTCTTGACTAGAATTTCAAATGTTTAAATCCAGCGGAGGTTGAACAAGCTTGTGATGAAATCAAAATTTCCCAGTCAACCTTTTTAAAGCTGCCAAACAAACAGACTGTTTGATAACTTCCCCTGGATTTTCAGCCTCTGCTCGTTTCCTTCACTTCACTCGTCTCTATTTAACTCTGAGCTGTTTCCCGTCCGTCAGCCTCCACCAGGTCGACCTCTCTCTCCGAGACGTCCACTCCCAGAGAGCGAGACAGGGACCGAGAGCGGGACAGGAGGTGAGACGCTGCTGGATCTCCCAATCATCTTCTTCTGAATCGTTACGTGAAAGTGAAAAGGCTCACATCAAGTTGTGCAGTCAGTAAAAGACTAGTTTCAGTCAACTGACGTGACCTGGTCGTCCAGCTGCTTCCTGCCTCACATTCCAAACATTTATAAACATTTGTAAACTATAATCTCATCGTTCAGACTCATGTTACTGTGAGTGGTTTAAGTTTCACTGAGGTCGTACCCTCATCACGCTTGTCTTTGAAGTTCTAAAAATAAAAAAAACTTTTATCATGTCTCTGCGCCGGGAACGGCCAGAGGCCAGTGTCCAGGCCAATGTTTTAAAGTTTTCCATCCAAAAAAAGAGTTGTCATGAATCTGATATTTGATTAAAAGCTTGGCCGTTTCACTTTTTTATTACAATTTGACCTGAAACATTAATTTGTCAACTGTAAGAATCTCTATTCACAGATGTGTCCCTGACTCCTTGCTAACTGTACTTGTTGCCAGGCGACCGGAGATCACCATCCTGTCTGCAGAGCCGCTGGCCTCCACCTCCTGGTTCCCAGGGGCCTCTGGAGGCTTCCCACCTCCCCCTCCTCCTGCCGCACAGATCTGGGGACCCACCATCCCTCCATCCATACAGGTAACCGTCGACTTCATCTGAACTGGGTTGAAATGGAACGAAAAATTAAAAAAACAATAGTTTCACAAGGATAAGTAAAAAGCATTGATACAAAAAGAGGGTGAACAGCATGTTACTCTCCCTCAGCCGCCTCCTTCGTACGAGGAGGTGATCAGGGAGAAGACACAGGAGCAGGTTCTCCTGCCTTCTTCTTCTTCCTCTTCATCCTCATCCTCAACCGCATCACGTCCAATTTCCACAACAACCATCGCCACACAGACTGACCCAGGATCTGCTCCTGATCCACTGGACCCTCAGGGCGAGTGCTGCTTTTTATTTTTCACATGACTCTGACATTTTGTTTGTGAATATTTACGAGAATAATTTGTTCCTCTGTAGTGAGAAGACCGGTGAGACCACCAAGACCCTCCCCTCATCCCCACCCTCCCAAATCATCTCACATCGATGACATCACCACCACCACCACCGCCGGCAGCCGATCAACGTCCCTGAACAGTGACTGTGTCGGAACAAACACGGAGCCCGAGAAGGTCACGCACGCTTCGGCTCACGCACAGCGCTGTGACGTCCTCACGGAGCTTTCTTCACCTTTGACCTCGACCACTTGTGCTCAAACTGTCCAGGGGGATCCGGCTTCTGCTGTAGTTGACTCTTCCTCTTCTTCTCAAGTCCCGTTGGAGCGTCCTAGACCACGCCCTCGCTCTAAGCTCGGTGTCCAGCCAATCAGCAGGAGCGAGGTCAAAGTTCAGACTCTGGTCAAGCTACGTGAGGACGGTTTGGCCACGCTCGCCGCCCGTGCTCAAGCTGACACCACCAGCCAAGAAGTTAGTCAGGGGAAGTACCTGCAGGAGCTGCTCGAGGCGTTTAGCTCAGACGACTGGGGCTTTCCTGATCACCGCAGCGACAGCAGCGGGCACAGTCAGTCAGAAAGCGAGGAAGAGGACGAGGACATGGCGGAGCTGAGAGCGAGGATACAAGCGTTCGAGCAGCAGCAGGTGGCTGATGGGAGCTGTGGGGACAGTAACGACAGAGACTTTGTTATGACAAAGAGACCTGAACCTCGGCCTCGCCCTCGTCTCCAACCGGCAAAATCTGCCCCTCCCATTGTCGCCCCAAAACCCAAAAACTTTTCGCACACTTCCAAACCATCCAGCAAAGTCTTCTGGGAAGATGGTGGTCTGCCAGCAGTGGTGGCGGAGTCGGCTGCGCAGAAAACAAATGAATCTCTGTCCGAGGAGTCGAACGCTGAGACTCAAACGTCCGTAGAGTCAACGCCTTGTGTCCTGAAACCTGCTGCAGCACCTTCAAAACCCTCAGTTGCACCAAAACCACAGTGTCCTCCGGAAACACTCCCGTCATCTAACATCGCTTCTCCTGCTTCGGCCCCCGTCCCGGCCCCCAGGCCCCCTCCGCCCAAACTCACACCCTCTCTCAGTGACGCTCCAAACCCCAAACCTCCACCCAGACCCCCGGTCGCCCCCAGGGCCTGCACTGCAGCAGCACAACAGGATAAGAGCACCACAGCTGGGCAAACCATCCCGACTCTTCCCCCGAGACCCTCAGTGGAGGTCAGCGGTGGAGCTCAGGCCGAGCCTCAGGCTGAGGAGACGCCGGACGATGCAAAACAAACTGGTGGGTGTTATTCCACTGTTTTAATCTGTACCTCCGCCCGCAGACAGTGGGGACTTCGAAAACGTAGTGAAGTGAAGGATTTGATATTTTATTAGTTATGCGAATGTATCTGTCAGTTATTTATTAGCGTGAGCCTCAGTCACTCTAAACTCTTCACTTCCACTTCTCTGATTCTTGTTGTTTCAGTGAAAGTAGGAAGTCTTCGTCCAGGCGTCCCGGCCAAACCGGCAGCACTGACCTCACCACGCAGAGCCAGCGGTAAGAGTGTGTGTGTGTGTGTGTGTGTGTGTGTGAGAGAACAGTAATCTGGATGTAGCTGTACCACAATGAGGCATTTGAGAGCTTACAGACGTAAATCATGTGTCGTTGTTATGTGGCTGAAATATGCAAACGTGGAGACATTTTTTGTGTGTGTGTGTGTGTGTGTGTGTGTGTGTGTGTGTGT